AGCGCTGTTCGAATCACTTCGCAAATACAGAAGACTTCGGATAACATATTCGACAATATCGGACACAATACCACCCTTTTTATCGATATACCGTTCCTTCTCATAAGCGAATAGTTTGGCATTCATTTGATGGAAGTTTGTTTGACTGGAATCGGAGGTCTCCTTAAGAGCGACGGCATATCGGACAGAGTTCTCTAAACAGAAGGCATGCAATTCCGAGATATTTTTGGGCAAATCTTCGGGAAAACAAAACACTTTTATTCCTGAATTCCAAAACTCTTTGGTTACTGAACACAACTCTTTGAGAATTGAATCCGATTTCTCATTAGTGAGCGAACAGACCACGACATCAATGGTTGAGCCAAACGTTGACTTGTTTTTCATCTCCTCTTCCAAAACACATTTCATAATTTTCTCGAATTCAATGCTAAGACCGACGCCTCCTTTGTCCACAAAGTGTTTGTCACTATTTTTACTCAATTTATCAAAACTGGCGATCAATTGGTCATAACGACCGCCAACTGCTATAACACTCTTTTGGGTGGACTTCTTGTGTTTGATTTCTCGCTCCAATTGAAAGATAATTCCCGAATACAAGACAGACGACGAGCCGGTCATTACGAACGCCGGAGATATTTTGACCACAAATTTGTTGATATTTCCTAACTTTTCAGCGCAATTGAGAATCAGATCTAACTCTTTGATCGCATGTTTGGCCACTTGGAGTGCGTTTTGTTGCTTCACTCCTTTCTTTCTCATTTGTGTCTTAATATTAGACAATAACTTCTTAACCGATTCCTGTTCTGAATCTATGATCTGAAGGAAATGATTAATTTTTGATTCGTCGATATATTTCTCTAAAATACTCTTTCGCTGAGAAAACACTTTTAGAGCCAATGAAGAATTGGACGCAAAAGTTGACTCAACGGCTGATTCCTTGAGTACGCTTTGCGTGATTTTAGGGGAAAAGCAATCTCCCAAATGTCGGATCACTTTATTATGCATTTCATCTGCAATATCGCAATAATCAAGAATCGCTTTAATCAGTTGTATGTGATTCACACGAAGAATTAGTTTGGAAGCGCTCAGGACAGGGAACTGATTGACCACATGACTCAAGACACTGAGCACCTCGGAATCAGGCATAATATGAGTGCCATCTGAGTTGGTCCCCTTAGGGGTGACGATATCGAGAGCACATTCCCAAAATTCTTTGGGATGGTATCCCATAACACGCTTTTGTCGGTAAACCTTTTCGATGGAATATCGCCGCAAATGTGATATCTTATTGCGAGCTATATATCGAGCGAATGGTACCCGAAGATTGTGCGAAAGGGAGACAATGGAACCGGTGTTGTCGATCACATAGAAGACATCATTCACTTGATATGTTTGAGTGGAATGTTTGGGCAGAAGAGTGGGAAGGGATAGATAGACAGCGCAATGGCTTTGCATTATAGACTCCAACACGTTATACACGTATTGAAACACTCGTTGTTTGGTTGAGAAGGAAAACAAATCACTTTTAGATCCAAATGATGGCTCGAATTGCTGGTCATTCACGTCATACACGTAGTCCTCTATTTCTGAGGCCTCCCTTTGAAACAACATATTTAGCATATATTTATGGATTTTTGTTCGCGTGTTCTGAACGGCGCGTCGGATCACATTCTGCTCCTCTTTCTCCTCCATTTCAGGCGCCGGTAAGTAATCGGATGCCAATAGTTCTGAAGAAGAGGGACGCAGAGAGTAGTTGTGTTGCAACAGACTCTTCAGAATATTGATCTCGATTTCAGTGAAATATTGACTCCAATCGACCGGTAATTCAATTTCTTTTTTCCTTAGTTTTATCACAACTTTTGTTCTTTCCATTAATGTCTGGAATGGATACGACATCTCGAAGAATATGATTCCCAACGAATAAATATCCACTTTTTGTGTGTAATATATTTTAGTAGAGTTGACATCAGCGGTAACAGCGAGTTCTGGTGCCACATAAAAAGGTGTTCCTATTTTGCCAGTGAGTCTAAACTGGTCCGTCTCTTGCGTGACGTTCAGATTTTGTGCCTCAAGAGTAGCGGAGTCCGACTTTTCATCTTTTATAAAATAGATCTCTTTGGCTAAACCAAAGTCCCCGATCTTCACGTGATCGTTCACATCGAGGAATATATTTCCCGGTTTAAGGTCTCTGTGAATCATTCCCTGTTCGTGAATGTGAACCAAACCTTCAATTATTTCGCGAAAAAGCCTTTTCTTGCGATGAATTTCATTATGAAGTCCTCCATCGATGGCATCTCTTAAAGTGCTTTTCTCGCATAACTCCATCTGAATATACATATACTTTCGAGGAATGGCACGTTTGGGCTCTTCGTTCGTATTATTAGCAGTTTCTGTCTTTTCTTGAGATGCAGTGCCATCACAATCACTTCTTTCGAATATCACATCCACTGAATTGTTGGATAATTTCGGAGGAATTTGTACTAAAAAAGAAGTGCCGAAAATATCCTCTTCTGCTTCAAAGTCCACGTCTTCTATAGAAGAAGTGTCGGAAACATCGGAATCGGATGAATCACCACTACTTCCACTACTACTACTACTACTCTCTTTGACTTCTTTTGTTTGCTTCAGTTTTGTCTCAAATTTTGTACTCTTTTGTGTGATTTGCGTTTCACTGGTTTTGGTGTTAGAACTCTGTTCACTGCTATCGTAGTCCGCGTTTTCTTCGGTCTCTATCCAAGACGTGAAATATCGGACAACATTCTCGTGATTTAGTCGCGAAAGCAAATTCACTTCCCGTCTAATCTTCTCATAGAGAGAATGGTTTGAATGATTTATACATATTTTCTTCAACGCATAACATCTTCCGTCCAAAATATTCTTTACTTTATATACGTAACCAAATCCTCCTATAAATCAATCATTTAATCCACAAATTAAGTATTATAATTAATTATTAATACCGTAGTAATAACAGCTAATAAATCAATATACGGTACAAACCTTTTCCCAATTCATCCAATACTTCAAACTCATTGAGTCGTGAATTCAGTGAAGACGAGGCAAACGAATTCAATAAAGATTTGGTTTGAATATTATTCTCATAATTCTTGGCGTCTTCTATCTGTTCCCCTCTATCATTGGGAAAGGGCTGTGACTGCGAGTCATTATGTTTTTGGTAATTGAGTGATAGTTTAGACTTTTGTGATGCAAGGAATTGGTGCTGAAGTAGGCGTTCGGCAGTGGGTCGGGCGCTCTCCTCACTGTCTAAACATTTGTCTAAAAAGTGTTTCAATTCTTCCCTAACATTGCTTGCATTGACTTTATATTTCAAATTAACGGCTGTTTTGTCACTGAAATCCCAGTCACTACTTATAACAGACACTAAAACCCCGAAGTCATAGATGTCTTTCATTTTCAATCGATTAATATTCGTTGAAATGGTGTTTAGATTATAGGTCACGGAGTCATTGGTGTTGATGTCAGTAAAGATGTCATAAAACTGTTTCTCTAAATAAAAGCCACTTATTTTGATGTCACCACTACTGGTGTCAATGAACACATTGGTTGGTCGGAGGTCTCCGTGCGGACAGTTATGTTTGTGTAAATAGTATATGATTTCTAAGACTTGATTTGAATAAAATCTGATGAGAGAAGTGTTGAACGGATGTCCTCTCATCACATTTGACAGACTGAACAGTGAATTGGCGTTAATATGCTCTTGAAGTACGTCAACGACAATGTAATCACTTTTTATAGAGTATTGCATTGATATGTAAGGGATCAGATTGGGGTGACTTAAAGACTTTAATTTAGTTTTAAAATAAGACTCCACTCTTGAAATCCTGTCACTAATATCGTCGATATTGTAGTCATTCTTAGATTTAAGTATCCATTCGCTTATGACATATGTCTGACCCGAAGACAAATCTGTGGCTAAATATTCGACGGAATGCTTGAAGTGGTTGTGAAGCAGACATTTGCCTCTTTGGATGGTTCGGTCAAAACCGTTGATATCAAATACAATGGCAACCAATTCGTGATTGATATCACACTTCAAATCAGTAGATCTAATGACCGAAAGTGTTTCGCCGATGTCTTCGCGAGACTCTCTCCTAAGCCGTGAATCTTCGAGTAAAGCCTTATGTTTTCGTTTCATCTCTTCCTCCAACTGTTTTCTCTTCATTTCATCGATTCGTCTGTTTGTCTCCATCTGTCTCTCAATCTCTTTGTTCTTCTCGACCTCCAGTTTCGTCTTATGAGATATCATTTGGTCGTAAAAGCTCTTAACCGGAGGCTTGTTATGAGAGTGAAGACATTGTCGCACGTGATCCGCGAACACAAAGATCATCTCTTCTCCCCTCAAACTCTTCGCCAATCCGTACAACTCGTCTCTGATCTGTTGGCAAACACTGTCCGCCAATCCCTTCACTTCTTTGAGTCGGATGTCATCCGGGATTACGTTTGGATACCTTTTGCCACACTTGACGTAGAGGTCTGTCTGGACGTATGCCTCGCCATTCAGTTGAGACATCGATACCATGGGTTTGAGAGTGATCTGCACTTCGATGGGTAACCACTTGTCGGGTGAGTCGCCGCCATTCGGTGCCGATTGTCTCAAATCCTTCAGATCTGATCCAAATATGGCCTTAAGAGCACTCAATTCATCCATTTGTCGCTCAATTGTCTCACAATTTGCAGCCATTTGTGCACTTTTTGCGTACAAATAATGAGTGAATGAATGAATGAATGATTAAATGATTAAATACTGAATTGATTTGAAGTGAATGGCAATGAAATGGAAATAAATCATAATAACTTAAATATGTTTGAAACCAATGAATGGTTTAATGTTTACAAACAAACCATAACTGAGAAGCTATTGGAGTTCAACATACGGTTGCTTTCAGTGCATAAGCATTGTGTCACTGATTCAGTGTATAATAACGTATACTCTTATCTTTCTTACACAGTATTTAACTTCAAAAACATTTAATTATTTTTTATTGTCAATAGGATTGAGTCTATTATATTAATAACACATTAATAAACTTATTTGCAATTCCACTCATAAATGACTTAATCATACATTTGTCACATATTTTTAACATATAAATCCTTAAAATGTCAGAATTTAGATTACTTTTACACCTATAATATATTTGATTTAAGTTAAACTACACTGTAATTTATACTACCGTATTTAATTATAATGTTTATGAAAAACTTATTCCTTGAAAATGATACTGTAAAAACTATTAATATCTAATTACATATGCATTTTATATCTTAAAATATACAGTATATGATTTTAAATGATTGACAAATAAAATGCTGCTTTAGCATTAAATTAAAAGTAACATACAAAACATTTTTTGATTCACTAATAATTTGTAGTGATTTATAAAGTACGGTATTAACATATTAGTAAATTAAAGGATCTTTACAAGAATCAACAATTTTTATTTAATATTACTAAAGTCAAGACTTGTAATGAATCATTAGTAATTGACTTGGTTGAAAGTCATGAACATGTAATACCGGTATATCCAGAATGTCAAACATATTGAGTTGCCATCAAATATTTAATTATTGGAATATTTATTTTTATTAATATTACTAATTAAAATTTATTTGAAACAATTTTATTGTTATTTACATTACTTTGAAACTAAAAGGATTTGGCATTGCATTGGTTAAAACTTATAAAATAAAACATGAATTATCGGAATATATGCGAAGATTTTTGAGTGATATGTTTGTATTGAAAGCATTTGAGACATAAAGTGCAAGAAATCAGAGAAATGGTAATTAGAGTCAACAAAACCATTACAAAAGTGATAACTGCATGACTGATGGGAACACATAAGTTGTCATTACTTTCTAAGAACAGCTCATTCTTGGAGATTGCGCTCAAATTCTGGGATTCAATGAAATCGAGATCATTGGGAACCACGACTCGAATACCCCGAAGAAGTCTAATCGGTTCGACACTACTTTCGTTGAGTTTGTGATCATTCCTATTGAGTGTTCTCTTGGCTCTGGATTTGACGATCTCTTCGTTCTTCTCGCTCTGACTTCTGAAGAGCACTTCCTCGACGTCCGGACATCCGTTTCTGCACTCGTATTTGCAGATTTCGATATTGCACTCAAAGTAAACCTCCATTTTCTCGGGGAATCGGAAGGCCTGCATATATGAGAATGTGGTGACAGTGGAGTCGTCGACATTGCGCTGCTTTTGCCAGTTTCCCAGAAGTTTGCGTTTGAGGACACATCCATTTTCATCTGTCAAATGCACAGAATTCTTGACATCTCCGTCGTGTGCGATACAGTCTTTGATGCGAACATCGAAATTGTTGGCATCGGATCCGATGAGCGAAACCGAAAGCGTTAAATCGTCGCCAATTCGGACGAACCCCTGAACGGGTGCCGCTTTGAGGCCGTGTCCGTACTGCACGTCCATCACTGTCTCCACTGAATCGCCTCTATATGTGATGGTCTGTGAGTCGTGTACCTCAACGTTGACTGAAGTCTGGACAGTCTTATCAAACACTCCACTCCAGGCACACCTCAAGTGTCGAACCGAATCCCAAATCTCTTGAAAGATGGGCTCGTTTTGAAAAATGAGTGTATTTTCTAAAATTGTTTCGCCTTTTGTTGAATATTCGTCTATAAGTGTAGTTCCGCATCGATTCATCTCTAGTGTCAACTCAAACATCATTTGTCCGGATCGGTGCTCAACGAAATGACACGACATGTCATTGTAATAGTCTTTAGCATATATGATGCCATCAAATGGTCGGTCATAAGTGATCCGCACATGAATGGCATCTTTAGAGCATTTGGCTTCAATTGTTTGGATCTTAGGTTTTGCCAAAACTGGTTGTTGTGGATAGTAGTCCACTTGTTCCCGGCTCTTTTCTCGGTTGCTGTTCAGTTCTTGTCTATCATTATCACTAAATTGTTGTCCAGTTATAGTCCATTGTTTGTCCCTATTATGAAATGCGGGCGCATTTATAACAAACATAGCGCTTGGAGTGGTTTCCTCCGGTATTTCAATCGGTTCTGCTTTGATGGGCGACTGATGTCCACCAGAATTCTCATCATTTCCATGATTTTTATCAAAACTTTTCGATTGCAGTTCATATGGGATGACTCCC